GAAGCTTGGGATCCTGCTTACTCCATTGATGAAACAGTAATCAGAAGTTAGTTTGAACCTGAAAATCATAATTCCTAGTCTAATAATGTTTATGGGAGCAGACAGATTTAATTCTATCCTGATAACTCCCTTTCTCTGAGGAGAGCAGAGTGACCAACTTCCTGCTTCCAACCCCAACTTTCTGCTTCCAACCCCAACCTCCTGCTTCCCCTTCCTATCAGGAAATGGTCTCCCTTGTATAAGGGTAGGGGCAGAAGAGGCTAGAGATGTCTCTTTTTTCTCCTCTCCAGTGAAATAACAAGATTACTATTCTACTTGTGAAGGACAGCCTTTGCTATGTTGAAAAGATATAGGCAGAAACATATTTTTTAAAATTCCAATGTTTTCCTAGGAGAGAGGAGAAGGGAGGAAGAGAGTAAGAAAGGAAGTTTTCCTTTAGTGTTATTGTAGTCTATATATTATGATTACTTTATTTAAGGGATTATCCCCCTTTTTTGCCTTTTTATTTTATTTTGAGGCAATTGGGATTAAGTGACTTGCCCAGGATCACACAGCTAGTGTCCAAGGCTGAATTTGAACTCACATCCTCCTAACTCCAGAGCCAGTGCTCTATTCACTGTACCACCTAGCTGCTCCCTTTTTACCTTCTTGATGAAAAGTCAACAGGTCAGGTCAGTAAGTATTTATTACGCACTTCCAATGTACTAATGTACACTGTGCTAAACTGTACCCAATCCCATAGTGATCGTGGCTATAAAATAACCCCTGCTCACAGTGGCAGGCATCACTAGGGAGGAGAAGTACAGGGGAAACCTGTTGGTCAACTAACCCTGTGGCTTCTTCCTTAACTTCTGCCAGAGAAGAGCCCTTTGATACTGCAGGCAAGGGGTCAGCCTTGAAAGTATCTTGGAGAGATATTGTACCATGCATAGACAGTCTGCAAATGGTCCCAGTTCACTAACCAAGTGGTGAACAGGAGGGGAATCCAATCCAATGCAAGTTTATTTTCAAGTCACCAGGGCTACTGCAAGGGAGCAGGTCAGGCAGGGTAATGGAAGGGGAAAAGGGAAGGGGAAGGCTCAAGCTGATAAACAATCCCTTCATCCAACTAGAAGATTCCAAATTTTATTTCAAAGCAGCTACTTTCCAGCTCTTAGGCCTCGCTCACATATATCCAATAATTCTACTGTGGGAATGTCAACATTTCACTCCACCAACAATCAAATCCTTGTATAGCCTCAGAAACTTTCCTATTCCCCCATCCTATGATCACACCCCACTCCACCCCAACCCCCACTCTCTACCCTCTGACTGCTTTAATTTTGGCTTTGGCTTTCAGTGTACTTTAAATCTTTGATGCATGTGAACACCCAACATTAACCAGAGCATTCACTGTTCCTACACTTGGCTCTTTGATGTGTATTCCAGCTGCTGTCTCTGGTTTTCCTATAAAGATTTCAATTCACTGTTTACTCTGAAGACTCTAGGCTTCTGTTTAGACCAGTAATGCCCCTTCCAACTCAGAAAGTCAAAGATTCTTTTCTTACCTTTGCTTGAAAACTTTGCTGGGTATACTTTCTGAGTTTTTTGTCTCTGCCCCACTTTCCTCCCAGGGGTATATTCTTTGGGGAGCAATGATGGCTGGACATAAATGCCATACTAGCTTAGACCCATAGTTCACCACTGTCATCCAATGTTCTGTCTGATAGTGCCATCAAGGGATAAGTCATGTAAGATTTATGTAAGTGTCTCCAGTTCTTGAAGCTGGGGGTCAATGAAGTAAGCAACAGAACATTTATTCAGGGGGGCAGCTAGGTGGTGCAGTGGATAGAGCACTGGCCCTGAAGTCAGGAGGACCTGAGTTCAAATCTGGCCTCAGAACAAGCACTTGACACTTACTAGCTGTGTGACCCTGGGCAAGTCACTTAACCCCAATTGCCAAAAAAAAAAAAAAGAACATTTATTCAGTACCTTCTGCCAGCTTCCCCGTTTCACATAATATCTGAGTTAGAAGGGAGTTCAGAGGTCATTTAGTCCAATCTCTACCAACCAACATAAACAGAAGAAGAGTAAAATCAAACAACTGATGATCATTAAGTAGCTCCAAGAGAGTTCAGCTTCTCTTTCTAGAACTGCAAATATCCATCCATTGCTCCTAAGGCACTGATGATGGACCCTTAAAAGGAAAAGACCATGTCTTTGGGACTCAGAGCCCAAAACCCCTGAACCCAGATCTCTGGCATTCACCTGAGGCACCTGGCCCATCCCAGTCAATAATCCTTTTAACTGCCCTTTCACGGGGGCTCTCTCACCACTTAACTCCTTCCATTGTCTGCACCTGGGACCACCCAGGCTACCTGCCACTCCTTAATCCCATCCAGATCTCCCCACAGTCTTTCTGTTTCAAATATCAATCTTACCCTCACCAATTGCACAGATTCTTAAAATCTGACCTGCTTGTATTGGCGTCACAAATAAACTTGCTACTTTGACTGGAAGGCTTAAGTGGTCAAATTCTTTCAAGGTAGACCCATGCCCTGTACCTTTGATTTTGGGGTTCCCAGCACCCCTAGATAGCAACGCTTTTGGGGCCAAGGGTTCTATAAGGCAATCCTTCAAGTCTTGACCACTCCCCAACTCCATTATCTGGACCAGGTATCTTTACCATTCTCCAACTCTATTTCTTCTCTTCTTCAGGTTAAATATTTCATATTCCTTTAACTGATCTTTGGATGTCATGGTTTCCAGCTCCCTAACTATCCTGGTCACTATTCTCTGGACATGCTCTAGTTTGTCTATGTCCTTCAGAAAATGTGGTGCTCTTTCTTCTCTTCTCCTCCTATCTTATATCACCAAGATGCCTTCTCCCACTATTACCTCTTTCACCTCTATCTCATATGAAAAGGTGGCCCTTCTCCTTGCCAAGATAAATCCCTCTACATGCACAAGTGGTCCCATTCCATCCCTTTTTCTCTGGCCAATTGCTCCCTCCATTTTTCCTTTTTTCACTAATCTTCCATCTCTCCCTTTCTACTGGCTGCTTCTCTACTTCCTACAAATACAACTATGTTTCCTCCATCCTCAAAAACCTCTCACTTGATCTGTCCATCTCCACTAGTTATCATCCCATAGCTCTCCTCAATTTTGGGGCTAACCTCTTTGAGAAGGCCATCTACACTCAGTGCCTCTGCTGCTTTTCCTTTCACTCTCTTCTTCACTCTCTATCTCCAAATTCTTTTTGACCTCATCATTTGGAAACAGTTCTCTCCAAAGTTATCATTGCTTTCTTAAATGCCGAATTTAATAAGACTTCTTTCTCAGTCCCCAACCTTCTCTGCATTCTTTGATAAAGTCAATTTTTTTTTAAAAAAGCTGTTGTTTATTTTCAATATCACAGCTCTTTCTGAGGGAATGTAGAATGGGAAAAGGTGATTGAGGGCTAGTGATCTGGGTACACTTCCAAGAAAAATTGGGTTGGGGGACAGAACTCAACCCCAAATGAGCCCCATAACCTCAGCAGCAGCAGTCAAAGGTATTTCAAAGGGAGTTCTCTCACTTCAGTGTCTCAGTAGGATTGTAGAGGAGCAGGACAGGGGAGCCATTCTGGGGGATGAGATAGCACCACCTCTATTTCATGCTGACCACAACTTTCCTCCCAATTATGTGGGATTCCCCCCAGTGGTGATGGGGGAAGAGAGAGACAGAGCTCAGATTGGGACCAAAAGGATGGGAGGGTTCATAAGAGGGTCTAGGTTAGGGTCACTGTCAATTGCAGCCAAGTCCAAGTGGGACATGAGAACCAAGAGGGCCAAGAAACCCAGGGATCCCAGAAAGAGCAGTAACCCTGCTCTCTGCAGCAGGCACAAGAACCATTTTTAGGACCCTGTCCAGCTGCTACATCATTGGGCTAACCAGCTCAGTATGAGCCTTTAGCAATACTCATCAGTCATTGTGATGATTAGGGAAAAAGTAAATGAACCTATATGTTCTAAATTTTTTTTATAGCAGCTCTTTGTGGTGGCAAAGAACTGGAAACTGTGGGGATGCCCATTAGTTGGGGAATGGCTGAATAAGTTGTGGTATATAATTGTGATGGAATACTACTGTGCTATAAGAAATGATGAGCTCAATGATCTTAGAAAAACATTGAAAGACTTGCATGAAATAATAAAGAGAGAAATGAGCAGAACCAAGAGAACATTGTATGTACTAACAGCAATATGGTTTTTAAGAATGACTTTGAGCAAATGAGTCATTTTGACTATTATAAACACCCAAATTAACTATAAAGGACATGTGAAGAAAGATGCTATCTGCATCCAGAGAAAGAATTGATAAATAGAAGTATGTATAGAATAATTTTACAAAAACATACCTGTTTGTATCTAATGGTAGCCATCTCTAGGGTGGGGGGAGAGGGAAGGAAAAAAAGAAATTTACATGATAACTTTATTATATACTTAAAAGGAATAGAAAATTGTACATAATAGATGTGTAGTTTCGTGTGCAATCATCTTTTTTATTTTACTATGTTTTGGAAATGCTTGTTTTATTCCACAATTTTTTTTTCTTTGGGAGTGTTTACTCATGAGACTAAAATAGAAAGTGTAACAGACATTTAAGAGAACAACCAAAAAGTAAATATTGGTCCACAACTTGACATCCATGAAACATATCAGCTAGCATTGCATTATAGTCAATTCATAATGGCATTACTCTGATAATTATTAAAATCTGCTTCAGGTATATATAATGAAAATATTTTCCTTTGCATTTTTGCTATAGGTACAATACTCTGGAGAAATTGTACTAATCCCCTAAGCAGATGTGTGGATGTATGTATGGATGTATGTACATATATACACAAGTGCATGAATGAGTATCTATAGCTCTACATGCATCTTATAGACAACTACAGATACACACACATATACATATATAAACACATGTTCAGATAGCGGTACATGTGTATAGATTGTCACACGCACATGTCTGTGAACCGTCAACACTGCAAGTTACTGGTCAGGTCCCTCCTCATTCGTCATGGGCAGCACTGGTTCCCCTCACTTGACCTTGATTACGTAAACAGCTTGATATGGCCTGACCCTGCAGAAGATTCATCTAGACCTCAGTAGCCATTGTGCCTGGGATGCAACCCTTCTTGCACATAGCTTCTAGCTCTTTCTGGGTCTCATCTTCCATCCTTCTAATGTCTTCCATAGTCAGGTCGATCAACTTATCAATCCAACAAAACAGCTGGTGGTGAAAGTTGGTAAATATTCTTTTTTCTTGTTTTTGAATAAAGTTTTCTACTTTAGTCTGCAGACCCCACCACTTGAATTTGATGGCAACCAGCTTGTAGGCACACATTTGGGGATAGTCTTGGTTATTTGCCAGGTCTTTCTTCCAGTTGGGTCCCAAAGGTCCTCTCTTGATCTTCACTGACTGGAATAATGCTGAGTCTTCATCTGCTTTATAATCTGCATGTTCTACTTGGCTTTGGTCTGCAATATCAATTTGGACAATTTCAACTGTCTTCCATGTGTTAGGATCTAAATTATGTACATTTTCTACTGTTTCCAAGTCTAGTTTGAGCCAGGTTTCAATTTTTATGAAGTCGTCTTTCCTATATTCATTCGTCACAATTGTTCTCCAGTAGGGATATGCATTCCAGGCTTTCTCATGAAATACCAAAGAGCCCTCAGGAGCAATCATCCTGACAAACCCAAGAACTTTACTCTTTAAGTGGTAAATCTTGTGTGTATACTGCCCCTTTTCTCCATCCTTCTCATAAGGTTCATTTGTTAAGACTTCAATGCCTTCTCCACCTTCTGTTTCTTTTGTACTGACTTCAGTCACAGAGTAAAGTTGTCCAACCTGGTACTCTTGAACTGAACATGGTAAAACCATGTGGAATTCCTTAATCAGCACCATCGTTTGCTGTAGCCACTGCCGCCGCGCACAAATTTTTTAAAAAAGAAATTTTTTAAAGAAAAGAAAAAAATTTTTTTTTAAAGATTTCAAGGTAAAATTCATCTCAATAAAGTGGTTCCTTCCAAAGGTGCCTAGACCCCCAAAGTGTGAGATTATGTATGTCTTAGAAAGTGAAATATGTAAGTGGGATTTATTCAGGACCTCTCTTTTTTCTCTCTCTTTGCCTGAGGCATGAAGTCTGACACATGGGATTGTGAAAAGTTAATCTCAGTTATCCATTATAATAGAGACACCATAAGAGCAAATCTGGGCCTCAACCCAAGTCCTCATTCAAGCCTGAACTTTCAAGTTCCAATCTCAATAGATCTTTCAGCAAGTCTATTAACAAAAGTGAAAGGTTATTGATTTGGGTTTCCGGTATTCTTTTGACCCAACAAAATCTGCAATATAAGTAGGCAAATGGTCAAATTAATGATCACAGCTCACATTTTCAGAGCGTTTCACATTTGTAAAGTGCTTTAAATTCATTACCTCACTCTAATGGGGAAGTTAGTTCTAGCTACCTTTTACAAATAAGGCTTACAACAACAGAGTGCTTTGCCCAAGGTGGCACAGCTAGTGAGTAGCTTTCTATTAACCACGCTGCCATCTAGCAGCTCCAAGAGTCAAGGAGCAGGAGAAAGAAAAAGAGGAAAAGAATGGGTCAACCTAATCAACTCTTCAATAATGAAGCTTTAGTCTCTCCTTGAGAGGCAGCCTGGCATAAAGAAGCAATATTTGTATTCAAGAAGACCTGAGTTCGAGTCCTGCTTCAGGCATATTCTGGCTGTGACCCTAGTCATGTCACTTAACCTACTACTGTCTCTAGACCAAACTTTGAGAACTGCTGGTCTAGGGATGCAGACAGACAAAATAGGCAAAAGGCATGGGGGGGGGGGGGGGGGGGGGGGGGTGGGGAAGACTACTGGGAGTCTCCAAGAGTCACTAGGGTCAAAACTATTTTTATAATATAAAAATGTTTACATTTCTAATACAGCTACCATCAATATCTATAACCCACATAAATAGAAGTTCTTTGGGGTTCTCAATAATTTTTAAGCATGTGAAAGGGTCCAGAGGCTAAAAAAGTTTAAAACTGCTGCCCTACACTATAAATTAAGGTTTATCTCTACTTACCTTACAATTTGCACGTCCAAAATTTGCATTTCCTTACCAGGAGATACCCTCTCCAACCCCCTTGGATATACATATACATACATACATATATATATATATATATATGTACACACACACACATATATGTATGTATGTATGTATGTATGTATGTATGTATATGTTTTACTCCTTTGGAGAGAATAGGTGAGGAAATTGAAGTCCAGAGAGGCCAGGAAAAAGAAAGAGGTAAAAAGAAGGAATGGAAGGAGAGGAAGAAGGAGAAGAAGGAGAGGAGAGGAGAGGAGAGGAGAGGAGAGGCCCAGGCTTAAAGTTAGAGGACTTGATTTCAAATTTCAGCTCTGCCACCAACTATCTATGTGACCTTTGGCAAGTGACAACCTCTCTGGGTCTCATTTCCTCATTTATAATAAGAAGCGCTTGGATCAGGTGAGCTCTTAGGTCCCTTCCAACAACATTCTAATATACTATAATTCTGTTTGTATTATCACTAGGTCAATGCTAAGGCAAAATTCTCCCTATAGGCTGGCATCAATTCCCTTTGTGACCTGCAGCTAACTAGTCGTTTACTATCTTTGTAGCTCGCTCTGCTCAAAAATTCATGCTGTAGGGAGTGACCATGACTAACCACCATATAGGAACATGTGGTTTTGCTAATGGATGATGGCAAGGGGCTTTGAAAAGCCTGGCGCACAAAAATTGATTATTATTATATTCTGTCTGGAGCTTGCCAGAGTGAATTGGATTTGCTGAGCAGGTAATTGCTGTTTGGGTAGCATTTCCCACCTTCTTTGACATTCCTGCCGAGAAGTCTTAAAATGCAGATTGACTTTCCCCTTTTCTTATTCCCAGACTGGCTTAATCCTTTACTCCACAGTTCTCTACTTCCTCTAGCTCTTGGAAAAGCACTTTCAAGTGTTTCATTAAATTCTCCCTGTGATTTCCTCCATTGTACCTGATTTTCAAAGCAGAATGAAACTGGCTGTTGTTTGTTTATATTTGGAATCACAAAGGAGGGTGTTAACCTTCCAATTAAAACCATTCCTTCCTGCTGGCTCCCTTAACTCATGCCCCAATTCATTTCTATTCCTGTTTTCTGAATGATTCTCTGAATATTAAGAACTAGAATTAATGCAATGTCTTTTGTAGGCATGTCATTGAATTGAAAATTAATGCATTTAACAAACAAGTGAATGCTAAGTGGAATTATTTTGAGGGGTTATCCCATGGGCACCTTGGGAAAGGAAAATGAATTAATTGGAATGGGTATTATTATTAATTTATACTTTGATTATCTACAATTTCATTCGTCTGTGTACTCCCACCACGGAAGCAGATTATAACGTCCATATCTAAGGTAAGATGGCTCATGAATGGAAAGCAGCACAGTATAGTGAAAAGAGTAAGAGATCTGGTGTCAGAAGAACTGAGTTCAAATTCTACTTCTGTTGCTCATTTCTTATATGATCTTGAGCAAATCATTTAGCCTTCCTGGGCATCAATTTCTTCATCTGTAAAATGAGGGGGTTGGACTAAACAGTCTCCGAGGTCCCTTCCTTCTCTATATCTGTGGTCCTAGAATGCAGAGGTTCCCAAACTTATTTGGCCTACTGCCACCTTTAAGAAAAAATTGCTTAGCGCCTCCTTGGAAATCTACTTTCTTTAACCCTTTCATAGTTCCTTTGAAATTTGTGTCATTTCAAAAATATATATATTTTTTAAAATGACATCTCAAATTTAACAATTTACTGTAAATTTGTGGGGGTTTTTCCTGCATTGAAATTCATATAACCATATAGTGTCGTATCATAAACAAGTCATTATACGCACATATTCCTGCCAATGCATGCTGGACTTCCCAACAAGGCACAACATGTCCACCTGTCAGGACTTGCTTGTTAAGACCTGTAGGCAGACTTGATCACTCCTCAGTTATAACTTGCATTTTGTGTGTTTATTTGGAAAATAATGTAATCACTATGACTTTAACTCTGTTAAACATGAAATATGTACATGCAGTTTTTCAAAATTTTCTTCTCTTCTTTCCTTATGCTTCCACTGTCCCTTTATTTTTATTCAATGCCCCCCAATTGCACCACAGGCTACTATTGTCCCACTGAATTGTTCTAGTAACCCCCCAAGGGACAGTATTGTCCACTTTGGGAACCTCTACAAAATGAGTTGCTATTGGGCAGCTAGGTGGTGCAGTGGGTAGAGCTCTGGCCTTGGAGTCAGGAGGACCTAAGTTCAAATCCGGCCTCAGACACTTGACCCTTACTAGCTGTGTGACCCTGGGCAAGTCACTTAATCCCAATTGCCTCACCCAAAAAAAAAATGAGTTGCTATGGACAAAAGTTAATAATCATCTCCTGGTAGCCATGTCTGAGGACTGTGCTGTAGCAGAAACAAATAAAAAAACAATTTCTTTCCATATATCTCATTTGAGCTGCCCAACAATCCTGTGAGGGAGGTAATACTGGTATGATTATGTGCATTTTGTAGATGAGGACGGTGAGGTTCACAGAGATTAAGTGTTTTGTCCAGGGTCATACAACTTGCAAGAATCAGAGGCAGAATCTGAACCCAATCTGTCTGACTTTCCAAGCTCAGCACTCTGTCTATTATAAAGGTGTTTGTTGTTGTTGTTGAGGGTTTGTGTCTGACTCTTCATGACCCTATTTGGGATTTTCTTGGCAGAGATACTGGAGTGGTTTGCCATTTTCTTCTCCAGTTCATTTTACAGATGAGGAAAATGAGGCAAACAGGGTTAAGTGATTTGCCCTGAGTTCAAATCTGGCCTCAGACACTTACTAGCTGTGTGACCCTGGGCAATTCATTTAATCCTGTTTGCCTCAGTTTCTCCCTCTGTAAAATGAGCTGGAGAAGGAAATGGCAAACCATTCCAGTATTTTTGTCAAGGAAATTCCAAATGGTGTCACAGGAAGTCAGATATGACTGAAATGAATGAACAAAAAACCTTAAAAAGGAAAGTTTTTCTTTGAATAAAGTTAGTCAGATTAAGTGATTTGTCTAAGATCACTCAACTAGTAAGGGTCAGAGATGGCAGAATTTAAACCCAGGATTGCCATACTGAAGCCTATTGATAGAATCACAATAAATTAGAATATTTTTGTATGTGAGACCAATATGAAGAATTCAGAGAACTATGGAAAAGTTTGCCTGAACAGATGCAGAGTGAAGAAAGTAGAAACAGAAGACTAATACACACACACACATACACACACACCACAATGATTGCAGTGATGTGAATGAAGACTAGAAGTACAAGGTGGCACTATTGGAACAGGCAGAAACTGTCAATCATTTCTTAAATTGAAAGACCTGACTGCACTCTACTGGGAAAATGGGTCAGGGAGACTTATTCCTTCCTCTCTTTATGTAGGTAGACATAGCTTTCATTTACCAGCAATTCACTCTCCCTCCTTTGTGATGGGCATGAATTCACTTTAAGCTCTGCAAGGCCCATGCCTTCCAATGAGTTGAGAAATGGCTGCCTATTTTTACTCAATCCAGGTTTTTACCAGCTCATATCAGGGGAATTCTTGGGAGAGTCGTTTTCTATCCTCAGAAAATTATTAAAATTAATACACTCTATCTTTCCTAATGCCCATCTCCTGAACCCCCAGTATTTTTCTTTGGAAACACATCAGCATGGTTTTACAAAGTTTTCCCTTAGCCTATGTTAGGCAGAAAATTATGCCCTGTCCCCTTTCTGGGATATATACCTCCCCCCTTTCTCAATTCTACATTCAGAGACTGTGACTCAAAGCTTAGTGAATAACCATGGTTTAATGGCTTAGAAATAA